ACCTGGGCAGGCCCCGCGCCTCCCGACGGCTCACAGAAATTCGAAGATCTTAAGACACCGGTGGAATTATTTCTGCCGGGTGGGTCCAGCTCTGCCGCAGAGCCGGATAGAAACGAAATCGACTGTGGCAAGGCCTTGGCTGCTTTCACGTCGGAATTTTTCTGCGCAAGCCTCACTTTTCTTTTATAATAACATTTTAAATAGCAGGCACCTCTCCGGCATTCGTCTGCTCTAGGTAGATGCGTGAGGACTGAGTGGTAATTTTCATAAAGAACGAAGCCAGATTTTATTTACCCGGCGGCCAAGCAGATGAAAACTTAATTAGCGTGCCTGTCTAAAAACCCAGGCAGGCATAAATCTCGCCAGGCCTTTTGGATAAGGCCTCATCTTTGCTTATGAAAAATGGGATGCGAGCAACTGCACATTTCTCTGATTTCTCCAGGTCTTGGGCTGCTGACACGCATTCGATCAAGTTTAAAGGAATGCGCATAAATCAGCAATCCCCCAGCGTCTCTTCAGTCCAGGTTCACAAGCCCAGAAGGGCGCCTCTGAACCCCCATCAGGGGATTAGTAGTCCCAGGCAACCTTCCTCAGAGCTTCTAACCGGGGGAATTCACAGAGAGGAAGCGAGACGCTGCACCTTCACCCACCCAAACACAGCATCGAACAATCTGTACTTCTCTACTATCGGGCTATTGCTCGCACACAAATACATCATTTCGCATCCTTCGGGTGTATCTCTCAAAATATTTAAATTAGGTTGAGTGTTTTCAAATGAATATTTCCCCCTTTTGTCTCTAAGTTCGTTTGTTTTTAAAATCTTACGTTAATTTAAAAAAGAAATTGGCTTCAGCTCGGCATTAGGCATAAATACTTAGTGAAATGCACAGTGACGTTTTACAATCGTCCACTTAAAGTTACTTAATAAATCTGACAGTATTAGGAGCAGATGGAAAAGGTCGGTTTTTTTTCAAGTCCCATATTTATAATTTTTTATTCAGGAAGTTTCCTTTTTAGAAAAAAAATACGCGAATGAGGTTTTCAACATCATTATTCATGGATCAGTGTCTGCTATTATTATTCCTATTTTTTTTTTCAGAAGGAGGCCAATGTTCTCCTGACTGTCTTTGTTCTAAAGGTTTCAGGCTGGTTGCTATTTAAAAACTAAGAAGTCTCCGGGCAGGCATGATAGCAGGACTCCTTTGATCCCAGCATTTGGGAGGCAGAGACAGGTGAATTTCTGAGTTCAAGGACAGCCTTGTCTACAGAGTGAGTGAGTACCAGGACAGAGAAACCATGTCTCAAAAAACGAAACAGAAACAAACAAACAAAAAAACCCAAACAAAACAAAAAAACAATAATAAGATTAAAAATAAAACCTTGAGAAGTCATTATAATCCATAACCACCTCAACTAATCTGGTAAATCCATGGCTATTTTAAATAAGAAGGGTGTTAGGAGAGATTGACACTGTCAACAACCATTTCAGAACTAGAGGGAGGGGGACCCTGACATCTGGAGAGATATAGATAGATAGATAGATAGATAGATGATAGAAGTACTTTACCCAGAACTCCTGCAGTAGTGGTAGTGTTCAAAAGGGGCAGTAGTCCATCTGCAGAGTTGCTGTTGGCCTGTTTCCTAGGCCGTAGGCTCAGAATATTTCTTACATCTACAGAAAAATATCTCCCTTCAACAGAAGAGTCCCCTTTGGAGCAGCTCATAAACAGTGTTTGATCCAGCTTGGAGGGGAATTTCCAACACTTTAAACATTTTGGAGAAGTCATTAACTTTGCTTGATGGTAGTTCATTTGGAGAAGGGGCTGCAACACAAGGTGCAGGGCGGTGGGTCTGAAGCTGTATTTTCATTTGGTTCCACAAATGGTTGGAAATCCTCAGGGCAGCAAAATATGATTGCACTTTACAAGACCATCTGAGGTGGATGTTTCAGGACCATCCTTTGTTGAGACAGCTTTATGTCTTTTCCATAATTCCTCATCTATAACGATATAAAGAAGCTCTCAGTCTTCAGGCGAGGCTGGAGACGTTTCCATCATCTGGGATTGGAACTGGTCAATATTAACTTCCACCAAATGATGAATTCAGTTCTCCCATGCACTATTATTTTCTTCTAGCATAAAGATAAAACTAACCTGCACCTGAAAATCCAAATCCCAAAGCTACTGGTTCCATCAACATTTTCATACATGTGTGCGCAGAATGGACTTTACACCACACACACACACACACACACACACACACACACACACACACACACACACTACCCTATGTGTATATTAAATACATAAACATACATATGTATTATTTATGACTCCAAACACATCTCTTATGTTGTTAGGGGTCAATAAACAGTAGCTATAATACTGATGGTTAATATAGTTTTGATTGTGGTTGTTAATATTAAGTACATTTATTTCTCCCACAAATCAAATGGTAGATTTGCAAGCATCAATATAAGATTACACACCACCCTGGAGCAACACTCAGGTTTTAGCAGTCCAGGATAATTTTCCTTGTACATCCATACTCTGACCATTTTGTAGATGAAATATTTAAGCTCTCCTACTGACTTCTCAAAGAGGTGGATTTCTTTGAATTTCTGAAATGTAACTCTAGAACTCTAGAGTTAGGAAGGTATGTGGACTTTTTATTTGCCGTAAAGATTCCCAGATAGTTCTAATTAAGGTCATAGACCACCTTGGAGGGAGCAGGTCAGGAAAGAACGGTTATTTAAGAACACCTCTTGGACTGTAACAAACATATACAGCTTTAAAACAGATCTGCAGAAATCTGATGCAAAGCAAGCCCGCTATGAGGACGGATTAAAGTTGGCCATTAAAGAAAAAAAGCAAACTTCACCGCATAAAGAACATTTTGTACCTCAACTCTAGAATTCACCTTAAATTACAGTGTCTTCAGTCATCAGTAATTAATAATACTCTATCTGTACAAATTCTACAATTATATACACAAGAACACAAACACTGATATTCAAATGTATACAGTATAAACATATATTATATATTCACATATATACAAGAACACGTATAATTTACATATTTTCAAATCTTCTTTTAGAGCAAAAAAAAAAAATATGAGTACCAAATCTCTAAAACAGGTCCAGGAGGTAAGAGAGCTTGATTCCCTTGAAGTAGAAGAATTACAAGGAGGCTTGTCGACACTAGGTGGCGCCCTTGATCTACTGATCTGGCTGAGGCCAATTCATGAGCTGTCAAAAGTCAAGGTCACAAATTGTCTTTTTTCGTCAAGGTCAAGGTTTAAGGCCTTTCCTACTCCTGCCATTTCAACAAATGCCCAAACCTGTCCTTTCAGTCACATGCAGACCCAAGAGCAGATTTTAAAATACGACAGTCTAGGCATTACTGATACTCAACAACTGGTTTTCATTTTCCACTGGGAGCCTGGGAACTTACACTCTCTCTCCCTCCTCCTTTCCCTTCTCCCCCTTTCAGAATACCTGACACTTGCATCTCCTGGGAGCCTTTTCATTTGTAGGATTTTAGTTATGTGAGATTTTCCTCTTGTCAAAAATTTTAGAAAAAAAAAAGCCGAATAATAATAGAAAAGTATGGTCCTTGGCTTGTATGAGACAAACGGGCTCATTTTCTTTCTGTGCAATGTGTAAGTTCAGCATAGAAAAGTAACTCAACTGTTTCCTTCAGATTTTAATGGCAGTGATTATTTTATTAACAGAATTAATACCACTATCTACAGATCTAATTTTTCATTTTTAGTAGAAGTATTTTAAAAGCAGGTGCACAAATACATTTCACAGTGTGCTGAATGTCTTTATTTACAAGATAGCATTTATAGTGCATATGAACAAAAACGAATGTGTGAATTGAAATTACTGTTTGATTAAAAATGTGCTGTGAAGATGAATCCCTAAATTTTCTAATGCGGTCTCATAACACAATAAACAAGGAAAAATACTAATCCTTTAGTAGATTAAAATATAGAATGTAGACATCTAAATATTTTGGGAGAACGGGTTTCCATTTTGAGTTTTCTTTTTTAAAAGTTAAAAAAGGGAAATGATGTCTCTAGCAAAATGTTTAACAAGTATTGAAAAATGCCAATTTAAATAAGTTTTAAAAAGGAGTATATTTCAAGAGAAATCCATATTAGGATTCAACCTTCCAGGACATGGGGCGTAAAGTGAATCTTCCGGATCACTTGGTGAGTTTTAAACACTTTCAAAATTACAATAGATCCTATGAAAAAAAATCTCTGATACTGGGTTAGTTCAAATGCCACCAACATGCTTGTTCTAAGTAATTGAAAGGTATTTCTAGAAGTTTGTTACCCACCCAGGGTTCCCTTGTAGCCTCAAGGGTTTAGCTGGCCGTATTTACTACCAAGACACTCGATCCTTGGATGAGCATTCTCCCCTTTCCACCTTCTTAGCAATAGTTCAAGATTAAAATTTCAGTGCCTTTCCCTCTAAACCTATACATGAAACATTTTTTTTCCCCAGAACATACGATGGGAGGAATTTCCATAGAGTTTACCTGAGCAGGCACTTAACTTGCAAAGGGCATGGTGCTGGACAAGCGGATGTAGAAACAGCCTTTAGTTTCTGTAACCAGTTTTCAGATTATTACCACCTAACACAGTATCCTAAAATATAATGGTCACATAAATACTTACAAGATTTGAGTAAATTCGTAATTTATCTGAAATAGTGTGTTTTAGGGGCTGAGGAGTTGACTCTAGAATTTGTCACTTAACGGTCTGGAAGGGTTGTCGGGAGAACTGGCAGTCTTTACCATTTCCCACGGTTTTTGTTTTAAACTGTAGGTTCCATTGAAGAGAAAGAGATTCCCCTTAGGAGAGCAAAACGTCAGTGTCTCTCTTTCCAATTCTTCTGTTGTTTTTATTAAACATTATTATTATCTGGGCAAAGAAAGAGTCCTTAGGTGTTTCTTCAAGCTGCCCTCTGTTCCACTTTTAATCCATTAACTAGTGGTCTTCAGCTTATTGATGACTTTTTTCTCTTTGACCCTCCTGTTCTGGAACCAGATTGTGACCTGCCTCTCAGAGAGGTTCGTTGTGGCTGATATCCTCCGCCGTTTGTCCTTGGTAATGAATTTGTTCGTAGCGTATTCCCGTTCGAGTTCTTTCAACTGCACCTTAGTGTAAGGCACCCGCTTCTTCCTCCCCCTCCGGTAGGAGCTGGCATCTGAAGGATGGGAGACGACGTCTGCAAGACAAGGGAGAAGGCAAGTTACACTGGGAGCCGACCAGAGCCAGGACACCCGCGACAGCTCAGTCTGAGCTCCCGGCCCTCCTTGCAAGCCTGGTTGCTCTTTGCCACGCGCTCTGTACTATCCGGCCTTCTGCCAAAGCCTGGAGAGTTAGTAGGGGGCATTGGTTAGTTGTGTATTGACATGGAATCGCCCAGGGTTCCAACGACCACCCCAGTCGGGTTATCCTGCACGTACCGCGCTCCTTCACAGCCTGACCTAGCAGTCCACACCTTAGCATTCAACAGGGTACAACATTTCTGCAGAGCCTGGCTCTCAGCTTGCCCCAAGTCCCAACATTCTAAGCTGCTTCAACGAAGCCATTTTTTTTTTCCCCCAGAGAACTATCAGGGACAATTTGGTGAGCTCTAGATCAAGTCGATTTCTCATCTTGGAGTCAGTGTCAAGGGCTTGGGAGGGTGGGGCACACAGGGAGAAGAGGGCTGCCCGAGTTGAAACCCACAAGCTCCCTCCCAGTCACCCCTCACCGAAGGAGGGCCGGGGGGGCAGCTCAACTTAGGGCAGGGCGGACAGCGCCAGCCAGCCGGGCTCAGTTTCCCCGGGGTTCAGAATTGCTAGGGCAGGCCAGGCCAGGGAAAGCGCAGGGGGACACACGAGTGACCCCGGGGCGCGAGCCGAGGAGAAGCTGGAGAAGAGCCCGAAGACCCGGGCTGGAAAGGGGGCGCCATTTACCGGGTAGAGTGGACTTCCAGAGGTGGGGAGGCTGCGTCTGCTCTTTGGGGCAGTACATTTGGCCGTTCCAGCCGTTGGGCAGCGCCCAGGGCTGGTAGCTTTCCATGGGAAGCCCCAGGGGCTCGTGGCGCGACTCGCCAGGACCCCCGAGCCCCGGGACCACCGGCATATCCAGGTAGCCGGGCACCGGCTGGTGGTGGTGGTAAGGCCCGGCTGCGTAGCCCTGGTGGTAGAAGGCAAACTCCTTGGCGCGGGAGCTGAACTCCTCGGCCGCGGGGCCCGCGGTGTCCATGTACTTGTCGGCGAAGGCGGCGGCGGCCGAGGCGGGCTGCGCGCACGACTTGATGGCGTTGGGGTGCGGGCCCATGCGGGCGCACGGATAGTAGCCGCTGCCGAAGTAGCCGTAGGGCAGCGCCGCGGGCCCCGACGAGCTTTGCGCCGCCGCCGAGCAGGGACTGCACTGCTTAGCGGCCTCGGCACCCGCGGGCCCCGCTGGCCCGGGCCCTCCCGACGACGACGCGGCGGCGGCAGCGGCGGCGGCGGCGGCGGCGGCAGCGGCGGCGGCGGCGGCGGACGGGGGCGCCTCCCCCGGCGCGCTGCTGTAGGCGGCCGCGGCGCCTGGCGCCAGGGGTGCGGGATGCGCCATCAGGTTGCGGCACTGGTTGGCCGCGGCGGCGGCGGCGGCGGCGGCCGCTGCGGCTACCGAGAAGTTGCCCCCCGCGGCCGCGGCAGCCGGGTGGGGGAAGCCCCCGCCCCCAGCTCCCGCCGCCGCCGCCGCCGCCGCCGCTGCCGCCGCCGCCGCCGCCCCTTCCATGTTCTTGTTGAGCTCGTCGGCCACCAGGCCGCCGCCGTTGTCGTAGAGGAACATGACGGTGGGCTCGATCCAGCGGGGGTGGAGGAGCACGGAGGCTGTCATAGCCCGAGCCGCATGGAGAAGACCCCAGTGGCGCTGTTTTAAAAAGCCCCCAAGAAGTGAAGAGCGCGCCGCGCGGGGCCGGGGCCCGAGCGAGGGGGGCGGGTCGCGCCCTGCGGGGTCGCGCCAGGCGGCCGCCCATTGGCCCGCCCCCGGCCCGCCCCCGGCGTATGCAAAGCGGGCGGCTCCAGCTCGGCTCGGCGCTGGGCCCGCCGTCCCCGCCGCCGCCCGCGCGGTCCTCTGCGCCAGCGCCCGCCGCGCGGCCGCGCCGCAGTCACCCACGGAGGAGGCGGGGGCCTCGGGTGGGTGGGGTGGGGAACACAGGGCGCGCGCCTCGCCGACCCCGATCCCTTCCCCGGTCTCACTGGGCACCAGGGCATCGCTCGCAGGCTGGGAGGGGCCGTGGGCTCCCGCGGTTGGGGTGAGACCTGAGGTCGTGGGGACAAGTCAGGTAAATTCTCTAGTAGCCAGGGAGGAGAGAGATTGGGTTGGACTCGCCCAGCGTGGCCCGGGGTGTTTGGGGGGCCCTCCGGGGCTGTTTTCTTTCCAGGTATGGATCCGTCTTTCCGCAGCTAGACCCTACCAGGGATGTCGGAGCTTTCGCCTAGGACACGTCGAGATTTGACTCCCCCTACCCCTGGGGAACAAGGGCAGGGAGGTTGTTTCCTGTCAGTTCCTGGGAGAAGTCAGGCGCAAGGGTCCTAGGACATTATGAAGCTGGGAAACTTGGGCTTCATTTTAGGAGCTCTCTTCCTGTTCTCAGGCCCTGGAGGACACTTTCAATTAGGCCCACAGACTCAGAATATCAGAACAACCAATTGTATCTCCCTGCTCCCCTCACATGCGCGCGCGCGCGCGCGCGCGCGCGCACACCACACACACACACACACACACACACACACACACACACACACACAGATGCACGCTGCCACGTTCTCCCACTTGTATATACAGCTCACTATTCATTTCGATGCAGCAACTATTCTCTCTGGTCTGCAGAGAATTTCAGATGAAGAAAGCACCATTCACTCCTGCTCTTGTCTCATGAGTCCGGCTGCCTTTTCCTGAAGGGGTTTAAGAGGAACAGGCCCCAGCTGGGCAGCTGGCTGTGACTCCAGCTCCAGTTCTGGGGCTTCCTACAAGCCATTCCATAGATCCTGAGTTGGACGCGATTCTCCAGACATCTGGGAATCCACTGTTGCATTCCATTTTGGGAAAAGAGAAAGGGGACCTTTGGGGTCATTTCATGCCTTTCCTCCCAGTAGGAACTCAGCCTGCAGTGCTACCTACCGAAGAGCCGGACTGATGAGTCCCCCTGTACCTGGGAGCCTGGTGGGGTGTTTGTACTGGAAGAGTCACAGTGTCTTGGTGAGGGGTTCTGGGGACCCTGCCTCTTTAGGGCTGTATCCACTTCTGACCGGGCATCTGTGAACTGGCCAGATGTCCAGAGGGTAGCAAACGATCAAAGCGAAAGTGGGCGCATTCTGGAATATATACGCTGGGAACAGTTCTGCACCCTTTGGTCTCAGGCGCTTTGGTAGGCAGCCAGGCTTGGACCTGTCTTCTTCGGGTCCCAGTGTGTATGTAGACTTATCCCTAAGTTAAGGCACCACACAAATCACCCAATCCATCTGCTGCTCTCTAAGCCCCCTGGGCTTCTGGCAAGATTGGGACCCATAAGGCTAGGCTCAGGCTTTTATCTGCCCAGATTCTGGGTTTGTTCTGACTAATGTTAAGTGTCGCCCAATAAAACCTTCCCTGATCCCCACACCCAATTCTCTCCCACACCCAGTGCGTCCTTTCTCTCCTGACTTTTTAGCAGTCCTGGGTAAATATTGGTTTGCCCCCAGTTTACCTTTTTCACTGACTGGCCATTTGCAGACTAAGGAACAAACCTCTGTGAAGACTTGATTTTTGTGTTCCTTTGGAGCCCTATTCATCCATCCCTCTGATTCCTTCCCCTCTCTAAGTGGCATTGTAAAACTGCACAGTGACAAAGAGACAAAGTAGGGTTCCAGGCTCCAGTTCTCGGAGACTTGAGGGCTTGAGGGCAGTTTACATACAGGTCAGACACGGCTGGAGGCCAAGGTCAAGTTGAAAGTTGCTGTCTAGTCAGCGTGAGAAACCTCAATGAAAGCCTGGAGACTGGGGGCAGCAGGGAGGCCGACCGCCCACCTCCCCTCACCCTCCATTCCCCGATCCTTTGCTTTTCTAGTTTCTAGCCCTGTTTGGCTACTCAACACCATTTTTTGCTCTTTGTAGAGTTTTGGGGGCGGTGTTTTACGGACTGGACTGATTCTTCTCTGCCGCTGCCCTGCTCTTAGCTGGGTTTTTGAGCCTCCGAAGTTTTCCAACTAGATTCGGAAAAACGAAAACACAGCTCGGGAAGCCTCCACCAGCAGATTCCTATGCCAGTTCGCCTCTGGCAATGGCTGGACTGCTGGTCCACACAGCAGCCAAGACCAGCTCCACATTCTTCCCTCCCCCTCATTTCTCTGGAGCCGGGAGCCCTGCACTCAGAGGAAGGGCCTCAGCTCTACAGACTGCCAAAGTCGGCTGGGTCGCTCCACTCCAAAACTGGTGAGAAAGGATCTCATCTTTTCCGCAGAGGAGCCAGAAACAGGTTTGTCTGGGGAGAAAGGAGCAGGGGAAGGCTTTGGGTCGCATCTTGAATCCACTGGGCTTTCTTCTGACACGTGGCATCCCCACCGTGGAAGGCTTTCGCTCTGACTTACTGAGGTTTATGTTTTCTTATCAATTAAAAAAACAAACACACAAACAAAAAAACCTCAAGACGGGATTATTTAGAGAAAAGCAGCCTCCTTGCTTTCCTCCTGTCTCATACACTGATACGATTTTCTCCCAGGTGTGTGTCAATGGCATCTTGGCACATCTGACTCTTTTTTTCTCCTTCTGTGTTGTGTCTTCGCTATTTTTTAAATGACTGCGTTGTCGAGCTGTGGGCATCACTGGAAATTGTTTCTCGAATTACAATGCACTCTGGGAATAATTTGGGGTAAGACTTTCTAGAATTTCTACTCACTTCAAAACAAGAATAATCCCTCAGTCTTTCAAAGAGGGAGAGAAGAGATTCATTCATGATTTCTAATACTATGCTCCAGGCAGTTCCAAACCAGCTTGGTGCGGGAAGAGAAAGGGCAGAGGATGAAGGTTGGCTCTCGGAAAACCAGCAATCTCTTCCAGTGTTCTTCCTCATGTCCCAAAGGCACAGGCAAATCTTGTTTGTCCATCCAGCTAGCGGGGCCTGACTTTCTGAGCTCTTTTTGTCTCTCAGGCTTAGGATTCTTCTAAGATTTGGCCAAAAGCACCAGCACCTTAGCCATTTTATCCCCGGGTTCTCCATGGCTTAGAAAAGAGAAGTCAGAGGACCCACGATGACCTTCAGGCCGCAGTGGCCATTAGAGCCAAGCCAAGACTGGGAGCTGGAGAAGTCTCTGTTACTGTCCAGGCTTTGTCTGATGCTCCCAGATTTCTCAGCGAAGCCCTTTGAGGGCAACATGGCTGCAGCCTGGCCTTTGTTCCAGGAGTTTCCATAGCTTTTCTCCTGCTCTTGGTTTTTTTCTAGGGCAAGCCAGGGGCCATGGACTTTGACAGCCCTCCTGCATCTGGCTTGAGACCTTGGTTGCAATTTTTTTTTTCTTGATAGAGGACTCCTTACCAATCAGGGCTACAGGACCCTGGGTTCCTAGGGTTGGAGAAGAAAAGGACAAAAGGAAACCAAGGTCTAATCGAGTTTGATTTTCATTAGCAAATGAAATTTACCTGCTCTCACTTTACCCTAAGGAGGCTGTCAGCACCGTTCTCTGGAACTACTTCTTTGCATTGATCTGGTATTAGGATAAACATTCCTTGTTTGGTTTTAAAGACACTTTGTATTTCGGGATATTCATGTGTTTTCTAATGTATCCAAGACGCTTTATGAGCTGCATTTCCAGGATGTCTTAACCCTCTGTCTTCCACCCCAGGCAGGCTGGGGGCAAAGAGATAATGGCAAAGCAAGAAAGATGCGGAAGGGGGAGGGAGCTGAGGAGCCTAGGAGAGAGAAAGGAGAACTCCCCAAAGAAGGCAGTGCCCAAAGAGCAGAGCAAGTGGGAGGTTGAGTTTTTGGAGGGTCCTCAACCCTGCATGCACCAGGGTGAAAGCAGTGTCTTGGGGTTGTGGAGGAGAAAGGGTGTCCGGGATTCTGGACTGGCTAGAGCACAGGGGGAATGTCATAGCTGGAGTCACTCATTTGAGGTTTTGTTCTAGAGTGAAGCGATAATGAAGTCAAAGAAAGGTTTGGTGCTGTGGGGATAATTTTGGAACATGGGAAATAACTCTGTGCTACGGTGACCAAAGGCTTAGAAAAGTGGAAGTGGGAAGTCAAGGAAGAAAACCACAGACCTTGCCACTAAGATCACCTAAGATCACCTCAGGATGGACTTTGAAGAGAGCAAAATATTGGATAAGTGGCCTATTCACTGCCTGCCAGATTGAACCAGGTGCAGCGAAACCAGCCGGGAGCCAGCCACGGGAAGGAGCCTTACCCAAGGAAAGATAGCAGAAACTCAGAGAGGACCCCAGTTACATCACTGGCCTGTTTCTTACAGTTCCAAAGAAGGGAGAGGGCAGCTCCTCCACACCCCCATTTTAGAAGAACCAGCAGCGGGTCTCAGGCAGCGGTGAGGAGCAATCTTCTGCACCCTGAGGTTAGATGGTGGCAGAAGCCTTCCCTGCTGCGTCACTGCGCCGCCCTCCACCAGATCTGGAAACTCAGCCTTCACCTAAGGACTCCTGTGAGTTGGAGTAGAGGGACCGAGTTCCAGTAAATAGAGGCTCAGACTGAAGGAGGACGCTCCTTTCCACAGGGAGTGGCAGGCAGCCAGGACAGGGACCAGCTTGTGGGACTGCGGGGGCCCAAGCCACTTTGGGAGTGAGCTCGCTGCCACTGGGACCGAGTGCTGGCAGAATTCGGTACCTCCTGGCAACCCAGCGCCTGAAGC